TTCACAAATATATTTTTTATTCACAAAAATGTTTAATTAATTTGTTTAAGTGCGTTGAAGAAAGAAAAAATTGATTTTTTTTTATAAATTTTTTGGTAATTTTTTTTACCTTTGGATTATTCTTGACCGTTAATTTTCATTTCTTTTTAAAAATCAGATGCACCAAATTGTGCCACATGGCACAACCTAAAATTTTCAATTCTTTTTAACGTTGGAAATACAACGGACCAGATGAAAGGACCGTTGGAAATCCAACGGCGTGGCAGAGCACGCTGGGTTGTGCACTTGGTGGCCCACACACATGCTTTTTCTGTACCAAACGGGCGCAAGCCCAGGCCGTTTCAGCAGGGGCAGTAGCTCTAGGCCCAATCCCTCCAGTTTTCCCTCCGTTGGAACAAATTTTCTTGAGTTGGAGGCAATTTAACCCAACTGTAAGGGCAATTTGGAAAATGGGTGGATATGCTCTAACGACTTAATGGCCAAGGGTTGTAAATAGCTTTTTTTTTTTTTTTTTTTTTTTTTGGGTAAAGGGTTGTAAATAGCCTTTGACATTAGTAGTCACAGACAAATCACTTAGTAGTGCTTCTCTTAATAATGTTTTTGCGTCATGTGTGTTGCTTATGTGCGATGTGAAGTTTGCGTCCTCCTTGAATTGACTCTCATGAAATGCATACTGATTCCTCGTATTTTTTTATTTTTTTTTTTGCCGAAGTGTGAGGTATCCTATACTTTGAAATGTAGGAACAATTCGTAGTGGGATTTGAAAATGGTAAAGATATTTCGGCTTATTTCTGATCACAATCAAATGACACATGTTTTCCTAAAATTTTCAACCAAGGAATAACACATGTTTTTTTTATAGCTATGCCTCAAACCTATGCACGGGAGCATTATTTGACTTGGAATTCTACCACATTTCCGTTGGACTACTTGATGTGATTAATTCCTCAACGTATGATCAATCTACATTTTTTTTTCTTTGAAAAAATGATATTGTTCACAATAAGAGAGTGGGGAGCGGGCTACGCCTTATAATAGGCTAGTAATAATGTGGTTCAAATTCACTTTTGGTGAGAATCGAACCTAAGACCTCTCACTTACAAGTGAAGAAGAATACTATTAGACTGTATTACTAAACGACATGATCAATCTACTTAATTACACTAATAAGTTCATATTATATATACTAGAAGATGAGCACACACTTTGTGTGTGAACAATTTCATTTTCTTTTTTGTTTTTTGATTAAGGAGTGTGATTAGTTTTTAAAATTTTTAAAAAGAGTATGAGACAATGTTGATGGGATCTTTTAATAAGGGCATATTTTTCTTAATTACATAATTACCATTTACCCTCTTTATGTAAATATTGTGTATCAAAAGTGAGGGTAAAATAGGAAAAATGGGAATATGATTGTCATTTTGTCAAAAGGTACAAAATTACTATTTTGCCATCCTCATGTCAACATTGTGTATTAAAAAATGAAGGCAAAATTGGAAAAGAAAAATGGAACAAAAAGTTGACAAGCCCTCTTCTCATAATAGAATAGAAAAATAGATTTATCCACGTAAAAGCAAACATAGCAAAATACAATAGATATGTGTATATATATATATAATATATATATATATATATATATATATATATATATGATCAATCTACTTAATTGCATTGTACCAACATTGAAGTTCTTGTTTTACTTTTGGTGCAAAGGGAGAAGATATCCTGGAGGACATTTGTCTACTATTGAGATCGAACGGTCCAAATTAAAGAGTCGTTGAGATCGAACGGACCGTGGGAAGCCATGTGGCTTCCCAACGGTAACTTTTCTGTCTGAAAAGTCGACTGACTTTTCTAAAAACTGGTCGGGCGACGCGCCTGACAGTAAAAAAAAAATAAAAATGTTAGACGCCAGGGCTGGCATCACACCCACTCAGAGGCTTGGGCTGTCAGCTCGTCACAGGCCCGAAGCTCAGGCCTCATCTCCGCTTGGGCTCCTTTAAGGCTGGAGCAAGTTCACAGGGCATCGGGCCCTTTCCTCTCCCTTGTCCCCCAAGCAATGTCCATGGGTGGACTTGCTCTAATAACATTTTGTATCAGATAAAAATATCGATCGATCCACCCATTCTGTTGTTTTAAATAATAATTTATTGACAGCTAATTGATCAGGGTACAACAAAATCAAGGGGCAGAGCTGCCTGCATTGAAAAAAGATAGTCTCACGACTAAAAAAGGCCAACATGTTTCTTTCTGGATTCTCTTTGTGAGGATTTCAGGGATTCATAAATTTTATTCGTTCATCGTATATTGTGATCATTTTTTTTCAGGTACTGTTTGTGTTCAATATTAAATAAAAAAATTTAAAAAAATTATGATTACACGATATATAATGAACGAACACGATTCACGAATATCTTAAATCCTCACAAAGAGAATCCAAAGAGGATCCGGATTCTAAAAAAGGCAGTTGATTGTCATTCCGAATAAATTAATTAATAATATGCATGAGTTGATCGATTCTATCTGGGTTGGTATAGAATAAAAAAGGTATAAATTCGATTCTCCCATATTAGTTATTGATCTTATTCTTGTGATTTTATCTGGATCGGGGAAAACAAATATAACATTAATAAAGGTGGATTAAATCATCAAGGTGATCAAGTCAAGAATAAATCTCATTTGCATGCACTACTTTAATGTATAAAAGATTCTTAGTGAAACGACAAGGGTTTAAAAATTAAAGATGTAACTACAAGATGATCAATCTCTCTCGTTCATTTCATTTCATTTCAAGTGATATGGTTTAGGTGCAGTCTATCTATAGAAGAAATCCTCACAAAGACTCTTTTTACGATGCTTAGGTGAGCAATATATATATATAGAGTTAATTTCTCTCATCATAAGAAAATGTGCATATGAGATGTTCTTATTAGAAATTATGTATCAAATAATATACATTTTCAGGTTAATTAGGTACATTAAGTAGGAGCACTACCAATTATCCAAGTTCTCAACTAGCCAGCTGGTACTTCTCGAGATTTGAACCACTCCCGTTGATTGAAAATAAGAAGTGATCACAACACAATCTAAATTATATCGATATTTTTTTAGGAGAAATTAGGTTTTCATCCTTCATTTTGTTACTTCATTAATTAAAAATTTATTTCTTTTCAATTTTTGATCAAGGTCCTTGTGTATTAATAATATCATTAATTATTTCAATAATAAAATATATTTTATTTCTAAATATATTCATTTAATGTTAAAAATGTTACAATTAGTATATTTATATTTATGACTAAATTTTTTATCATATATTTTTAGTTTTAGTTTGTACCGATTTTTAATTTGTAATTCTTTTTTAACTTGTACCAATTTTCTTTTCAATTTTAATTTGTACCCATATATTAATTTCTTTTTGTACCCATATTTTTTTAAAGTTTATTTGTATTTGTACCCATATATTTTTTTGTGTTTGTACCTTTTATTTTGCTAAATGTACCCATGCTAATTATATGTACCCATTCATGAAAAACTTTTTAATCTTCAAATGTACTCATAGTTAAATATACCAATTTGTTATATGTAAAATCTACCCTTGTTTTTTTTTTATATAAAATCTATTCAATTTTTTTTCTAATCCATTTTTAAACTTATATGGGTACATTCTTTTTATTTTATTTTAAAATATATCCATGTCAAGTTTAATTGAAGAAATTTACTAATGTTATTAAGCCTAATATCTTTTTTTTTTTTGATTTTGAAGAATGTACCCATGTTTTGATACAATAAATTTTTTGGTTAATTTTGATGAATGTACCCATGTTTATACACACACACACACACACAATAGTATATTTATTTTTTAATATTTTTAATCCCATAAATTATGGTTTTTTTTATAGTTAAAATCTCATTTATATAAACAACTAAAATTTCTAATTTTTAATTTAAAAAAATATAATAACGTACATAGAAATAAATTATCACATTAATTTAAGGGACCTCGATCAAAAATTAAAAGCCAACAAGATTTCAATCAAAGAATATTCATAACTAAAGACCGCATCCAAAGTCTTTTTTTTTTTTTTGGATAAAACCTCACTACATGTATATCCTCAACTTGCCATTTCCAGTGCTCATCTGTGGGGTCCCAAAGGCCAATACATAGAGGCAAAGGCGCATATATATGTATATATATACACCTGCCAACATAATCACAATCATGGTCTAAAATATCTGTAATATCCTGATATTTCCATCGAAATTTCCATGTTTTTGGACTATCGATATTTTCGATATCATCGATATTTTAGACCTTACTAAGTCACTCATGTATCTTACCATGCAATGTATAAAGTGTAAAATATTGTACTAATTCATTATATATAAATGATTATCGTGTGTTTAAACTTCTTTCATTAATTACTACATATTTTCTACACTCACAATGTTTACCAGCTCGCTATATAACCAACTTAAATCAGTTATATCTATCATGCAATGCATTTTCTTCCAATTTTTTGTGATAAACTAATAGATAATTGACTAAATAAACATCCTGCAAAGTTTCAATAAAAATTTCCAAGTTTTTCTTACAATTTCCGTGATTTTTATTCAATTTTTATCGATATCGATAATATCCCGATATTTCCATCGAAACTCCGTGTTTTTAGACTACCGATATTTCCAATATCATCGATATTTTATACCTTAATCACAACCACAAAGTAACAGAAAAGCAGTACAAACAAACTCTTCACTACAGCATCAACCAATTTAAAAAGGGAGACTTTGGATGCGGTCCCTAGTTATGAATAGTCTTTGACTGAAACCTTGTTGGTTTTCAATTTTTGATCCAAGTCCCTGAAATTAATTGATAATTTATTTCTATGTACGTTACTATATTTTTTAAATTAAAAATTAAAATTTATAGTTGTTTATAGTAATGAGATTTTATGTCACAGCCCGTCCCGGAATTTTAATTCTGAGGACATGAAAAGACGAAAATGCCCTTAAACGGGACTAAGGGGCGAAAATTTAACAATTTGGATTGAGTTGGACACGTGGGATCCCCACATCCCTCAAAACCTTCCCCAATTCCCGTACCTTGTCTCTCTATCTCTCTTCCCTCACGACTCTCTCTCACTCTCAGTTCTCTCTCTTCCTCTCCGACGCTCAACCTCACCCAAAACCACCTAAAACATAAACAAACGTCCAAGATAAGACCACATTTGGACTCCTGGAACTTCCACGATCACGTAGACACCAATTTCAGGTAAGTTTTTGCTTCGAAAAACCCTAGTTTCAAAGTTCCCGTGAAATGGTACTGTTCATGATCTTTTAAATGGTTACGATTTAGGCTAAAACAAGATCACAGCGAGCTTAGTGAGGTCCCAAGGAAGCTCGGAGTGCTTCGTTGGAAGTTTTTGGACGTAAAAACACGGAGATCGACAAGTTCAAAGTTTGGCCGGAGCTTTCGAGGCATTTTTCCGGCGAATCTCCGGCGATTTAGGAGTCGAGGTAGGTATCAATCTCTTCGTCTCGTCAAGTACTACAACTTTCCTTTTTTTTTCACTCAATTTCGTTGAGTATTGAAGAAGTTATACTCATTTGAAAAATACCCAGTTTCCGGCGACCTCCGAGGCTTTCGAGGCAGTTTCCGGCCAAACTACGGCGAACTAGGGTGTTGTGCAAGGTACAATTCTCTTTGTCTCTTTCAAGGGCTACAACTTTCGTTTTTGAATCACTTGATTTCGTTGAGAAATGACAAAGTTATAGCAATTTGAAAAACTGCCCAGAAAACGGCCGCCGGAAAAAACCAGTCCGGCGACCCAAGGAAGAAGAAGGTGCTACAGTAAAAAATAAAAAATAAAAATAAAATTATTTTAAAAATATGTCGACGTCCGTGACGTCGAGTAGATCACTGTGGTATATTCATATACCTAAATTGTACACCGTATGAGAAAGTTATTGAAGATTGTTGGTTAGGTGTTCAAATAACGTTTTATAGTTTTCACATTTAGGTGAAAATGTGAATTGATGATCCGACCGTTGGATCGTCACCAAACTTTGATACGTTGTTAATACGTAATATTTGAGGATTATTGGAACTTACGGATTGGGAATCCGAGTTACGGATCTTCCGGAATTGGAATTGTAAGTCCATAATATAAAATGTTAACCGTCACTTAGTTTTGGAAATTGACGGAGATCCGACCGTTGGATGGTAAATGAAATTTTAGGATGTTGTCCTAGAGGTATAGTGTGGACCTTTGGAAGTTATGGATTTAAAATCTGAGTGGCAGATCTTCCGGATCGATCAACGTAGTGACGTATTTTATATAAGTTATGTATTCTATCGATATGAATTCTGAGCCTGGATTTGATTACTATTCTAGGCGGCGATCGTCATGACGCCTTGATGTGTGGTGCTAGGGAGTTGTTGGACGAACTCCAGGTGAGAGTGGGCAGTTTTGTTTTCCGTATATATATATATATACTTAACGTTTTCCCAGAAATTGAAAAATGCATGAAATTATGTTTAAAATGAAATGCATATGAGTTATGTGGAAAAACGGGAAGTGAAATACCATGCATAGAATTGATATGAAAAGTATATAGAAATGTGAGTTGAAATGCCATGCATGAATTAATATATGATGCATATGTATGAATTGGTGCGGTGGACGCACAGGTAAGAATTGATTTATGATGCATATGTATGAAATGGTGCGGTGGACGCACAGATGAATATTTAATTACTGTTATGATGATGATGATATATATTGAGCTCAAATCCTGCACCATGGTTTAGTGCTTATAGTATTCACCGCATCGCACGCTCGCCTTGGATCCAAGTAGATGCTAGTCGTACAGTCCACGCGGAGTGGGTACGACAGACCAGTCGCGAGAGTGTTAGTGAGATTCCGACTGGTGGGTGACCTTAGATTATGTGCACAGATGATTTATGAGAAGCACTAGAGCGTAACTTGTGTGCAGAAGGCCGGACGGGTCACAGAGGTGACTCCGGTAGAGTGATAATGATAGATTTTGAGCTCTAGGTTCAACCGTATAGGGCTATTAGAGGGCCTACGGTTGATTACTTTCTTGCACCTGATATGATTATGTTGATGCATTCATACCTTATTACTGTTGAGATGATGTGGCATGGCATAATTAATATGAGAAATGTTGAGATGACATGGCATGGCATGATTGATAAAGAAAAATGTTGAGATAGTAAAAATGAAGTTTGAGAATATATATGTATATTTATATTTTACATTTCTGGGAAAGTATACAGGTTTTACGGAGAGGGGTTACAACGTTTTGAGAAATGTTTGGATTTGGAAAAAGAATTGTTTTACTGACCCACTCAATTTTGGTTTTGCGCCCCCTCCAGGTTCAGGAATCACAAAGGTGTGGTGACTACGAGGAATTCGACGGTGTTCTGACAGATTGGACAAAATTAGGACTCACCTTCGGGTGTATCAATTTAAATTGTATCTTAAAGCTTCCGTACTGTGCAAATGGTTACGTCACTCTCACGTGACGGCCAACATGCCCTCCTTCGGGACGGGGTGTGTCAGTTGGTATCAGAGCATGGTTGCAATCTTGGACATCTTGAGAAGTTTCTAGTGAATTCTGTCAGAACTACACCGCCTCGTAGCAAACCACGTAGTTAGAGGAACTTAGTCTCCCTGATTTAGCGGGTTAGGGGAAACTATTCTTATGGTGATTCAGTATATTAGAAAAATGGACATTTTAAGACGGGTTATGAGTTGAATTTGAATCACTTAAGAGAAATGATGAACCTGAGGGAGCGAAGTAACGGTTTAACCATTTGGAAAAGATGTTTCGGATTATGCAAGTCAAAGGAATCTTCCTTCTGACAAGGGGTCGAGATGACTACCTGGTTTGAGTTATGAACGTGTATCCTGATGGAAGCAGGAGTATTAATTGTTGTCACCAGAGGAATCAGCCGATTTAAAATTGTTTAAGGACTTGTTTAAGGAAAAGTTTATCCCTCCGACATTTATCGATGGTAGTAAACAAGAGTTTACAAATATGAGACAAGGAAGGTGATGATCGAGGGATATTATAGAAAGTTTTCAGACTTGCCTCGTTCCATCCAGATATTGTTGTTAATTTGGTGGAGGTGTTATGTTGTTTTAAGCTGGGTGGCAAAAAGGGAAGTGGTATTTTGGGTGACCACTATCCATTATACTTCTTACCAGGAATATACGAGATGCTGTTGAGTCTTGAGGACTCTGAGAACATGAGCAACGAGAATAAAGAAGAATAAGAAATGAATGGGAATTAAAAGAAGACGATAAAGTTAATGATTCGTCATATCAAGGATATAGAAAGATTCAGAGCTTCGAAAGAAGTGAAGCTAGAGTTAATTCTTCCAGCTGAGGTTTTAATGTCGCTGGTCAGAGTAAAAGTGATGGATATACTAGTAATCCCAGATATTTGAGACAAGGTGTCTCGAGTAAAGGAAATGTACCTTGTGCAGCAGGTACAAAATTAACACTTTGGGAAGTGTGAAATTAATGAATGTGTTTATGTGAACAGAGGGGACACAGAATTGTGAATCGTCCCTAGAATCAGTTGTACCCAACAGTTTTCTATGACATCATAGTGTTGATTCAGCAGAGTTATGGATTTAGTAGTTTGGTCGGATTGACCGTGAGTACAGAGAGATTTGATGAGTTATATGTTCAGCCGTACAGACCATGAGAAGTGGATTCGATTGACACATGAGAAATTGGTGAGTTATAGGCTCGGCCGTACCGACCACGCGGAGTGGATCCGGCCGACGTATTATTGAGATAAGAGTTGAATCAGCCGTATTGGTCATTCTAGTTGACTTCGGCTGATATATTTCTTATTATGTATGTTATTACCTAGAGAGTAGTAAATAAATGTAGTTGAGACGAGTGTATGTATTTTGCATTGAGTGACAAAATAGTAATGTTATATCTTTGTGAGTGGTTGCCTACTTATCGAGACAACGATGATTTATCAGTATTGCGGGCTGCAGACCGTAATATTAATAACTCATTCGTGGATTCGTTAAGTAAGTAAACCGGTAGATTATTTTATGTTAGTATTGTACTTATTTGGAATGCTTAATAATAATAGAATATATATTGTATCAGTTAATTCTGTTCCATTAGATTGGTTGGTTATAATTGTGACAAGACGAAATGTTATGGGAAACCAGTACTTTCCATCGATCTGGATGACCAGAGATTACTTTTGTAAGTATGCAAAGTGGATTGAGTTCAGTCATTATTTATGCTGTGAGAGCAAAGAGATTGTTTTCGAAAGGCTGTCAAAAATACTTAGCTCATGTGGTGCTAAATGATGTTGTTTGGAGTAGTGTGAATAATGTCGAAAGAGTTAGACTTTTCTTGATGTCTTCCCTGAAAGTATACCTGGATTGCCTTCAGGCAGAGATATGAGGTTCACTATTGATTTGTTGCCAGGTATAAATTTATATTGGAGATTGGTTCATGATGAGTTAAGGGAATTGGAAATTCAGTTGAGGGAATTGGTTGATAAAAGTTTTATTCAACCTAGTACAACACTTTTGAGGAGCCCCAGTTTGTTGGTGAGGAAGAAAATGGATCTTGAGACTGTTCATTGATTATAGACAATGGAGTCGGGTAACGATTGAGAACCGTTATCCATGGTGATGTACTGATGTTTATTTAACCAGCTCAGAAGTAATTGCGAAGATTCAAAGATTGAATTGAGATCTGGTTACTACCAATTGAATATTATAAGTGACGTTGATCATAAGATGGTTTCTGGACTTGTTATGGTCCTTATAAAGTTTTGGTGATGCTATGTGGATACTCATGCGGTTTTATGAGTTGATGGATGAAGTATTCCAATAATGCCTTGATAATTGATATCATTTTCATTGAAGATATTCTGGCATATTCTGAGCCAGAGCAGAGCATGTAAACGTATTAAGTCGGTAGAACAAAGATTGGAAGAATGTCGATTGTATGCTAAGTTTAGCAAATGCGAATGTTGGATGAATCAAGCAGCATTTCTGGGATATGTTATATATTCTTAAGGTATTCAAGTGAATCCTTAAAAGGTAACAGAAATTAAAATTTGGAACAACCACGAGTCGTAATTGAGATTTGGAATTTCTTAGCTTACCAGGCTATCTTGGATGGTTGTGAAAGATTTTTCAGTCATTGCTTTGTCATTGACGAGACTGTTGAGAAAAGAGGTTAGGTATGAGTGGGAAGGAATTGTAAGCAAAGGATTCAACAACTGAAGTATTTCCTCACTCATGCACGTATTTTGGTATTCCCAGAGAATAGTGGTAATCATAAATTTTTAGTGATGTTTCTTGAATGGTATTGGAGGCATGTTGATGCAAATGTTAGGGTGATTGCATACGTTTCACGATAAATGGAATCTCATAAGATGAATTACCCTACTGGTGATTTGGAAGTCACGATTACCATTCTTGCTGTGAAGTTATGGAGACATTATATTTTAGTGGGAATGCAAGATTTTTTTTTACGAATCCAAAAAGTCTTCAATATCCATTACTTGGAAGGAATTTGATATGAGGCAGCGAAAGTGAATTGTATTGCTTAATGAACATGATTGTACGATCAGGGTGATCGTAAAGTTTGTTCTAGCTG